TTTGGTCTCGTTCACACGAAGCAGTTTTCTTTGCAGCTCTTCTTTACAAATCGACTTGCAGACTTGTTTTCTGGACATTTTTAACGCTCTGAAAGAAATATTTGAAAAGTTTCTAACCAACCAACATACTTTGTAATATACTATTATGCATATTTATTGCCTATTTATATGATTAAACTTAATATTTAATTGCCTAATCAAGGAAACGTTCTCGTGCGAACGAGCCCAAAGACCATCGTTTCCACGTTTCATCTGATACCAAAATTCCCGCACCTCCAAACACGCACCCGAAGCGAGAAAACGACTTCGTAAATCCAGTTAGTCGCTATCTGACGATCGGAAACGAAAGGACCCATCGCGGCCGATCGCGGTCGCTGGAGAAAACGAGAGAAAAGAATGGAATCGCAAAGATAGGCCATCATTCCGAAGTCCTGACCAAAATGGTGGCATCCAAAGCCATGAAAGAGAATCCATGAATGTGATATATGCTTGAAATCAGCTTCATACTGCTCCAACAATGAATCGAAAATGGATGAGTATGGAATTCCAACGATTCGCTTCCATCCAGTAGTCATGAACAAGATGGCGGCATCTGCTGAGTTGGAATATTCCTTCTTATTGTCAGAATCGCTTGAAATCAGCTTCATACTGCTCGAACACTAAATAGAATGTGGGTAAGAATGGAATTTCAACGATACGCAATCATTCAGAGTTCATGACCAAGATGGTGGAATCCGAAGCCATGAAAAAGAATGCATAAAAGTGATTTTTGCATTAAACCAGCTTCATTCTGCTCCAAAACTTAATAAAAGATAGATAGGAACCGAATCCCAACGATACGCCACCATCCAGAAGTCATGACCAAGATGGTGGCACCACCGTGTTATTCTCCAGTGATGGAAAATAATTTCTGGGAGTTTCTCTTGAAAACAGCTTCATAATGTTCCAAAACTAAATCGAAAATGGATAAGAATGGAAATGCAACGATAAACCATCATCCAGAAGTCATGACCAAGATAGCGGCATCCACTGAGGTAGAATATGACAAATCAACTAGGTGATGTCTGGTTCCAAGCTGGACAGCTTCAGTCTGATGTCGGGCTCCACGTTCAGTACGTTTCTCTTCTTTGTTTTCAGCCCTACAAGTGTTGAATATCTGACTTCGCAGGCGCATGTTATTGGGAACGGTAGCGGAGAATCAGAGCTGAGTCGGCGAGTCCAGGATACTCATACCGTACGTGCAGCCAGAAGTCTATTAAACTTTTCTCGCCGAATTCAAGTTTCAGTGACCCGTCCGATGCAAGCTCCACAAGATAGTCCCCCTCTTTTGATGGAAGCTTGATATCCAACATTTTGACGCGGCCCATGTTTGCGAAAGCATTTTTGATCCGCTCGAATCCTGTCTTTGGATCAAGGAATAACTTCCCGAATCGCTCATGGAAGTGGGCTTTGAAGTCTTCAGCAAACTGCCCATCAATTTCTTCCTCGGCAGGAATTCGATGAGAGTTGTGAAAGAATGGAATTCTCTGCCGTCGAGGCGGCCACGCTTCTTCATATGCAAAGCTTTTACTTTGTCCTGGTCAATAAAGACGGTGACAGCTTTTCCCAGGAAGGCAAGGGAAATCATGCAAGCGATCCGAGAGATCCCAGAATCTGTGCCAAAGAATACTTCCTGATGATGTCATCTTTTAAGAAAGTGATGCTTTGCATATAAATCGGTTTCTCACCAGGCCCATTACTGATCAGTGGTGTAATTGTTTTTTATTTTTCTTTTTCTTTTGTCATTATCCTGAACGTGTCAGAGATTCGTACAAGTGAGTCTCGTTTTCAATGTCTGCGCGATGGCATTTTTGACAGGGCGTGCTTGTTGATGCTATGTGATATGACATATTAAAGTCCTTTTGAAATCCCAGTCGTGGAGGTCGATTTTGACCTCGCGCAGTGCAAAGACGTGGGTGAGTACTTTGCCCCGCGACAACCAGCGAACCTCAGTATGGAAAAGGAGTGTCATGTGTTCGCTCCCCATCTCTTCACACGAGGCTTTAAAATTGAGCGAGTTCAGAGGGCGTCCTTTGATGAAGTTTGCAATTTTTAATGCCTCCTCCAGAACTGTTTTAAGGCTAGCGGACACCACTTAGCATCGCCCACGGTTTCATTCGAATGGAGTACCTTGTCGATGGCATTCTTTGCCTTTTCCCCAAGCATGATGTTTGTCATTATTTTTGCAGCAGGCTTGATCAAGTTCAGTATGATCTTTGATAAAATGTCTAGCGTTCTTATTTTGGATCAGTTATTTGCATTTGTTCTTTTTAAAAAATCATCTCATCTCATCAAGACATTGGACAGATGAACTGGAACAAATCTCTGAAATATTTATAAAATATCTGACACTGAAAGATCTGTGATATGCTGTGACCTCAATTTATTATTTCTGTTATTTTATGAAGTTCTTTTCACCTGATGTTAATGGTTGAAATGAAAGATTTTCTGAAACCTTAAAAAAAAAAAAACTCAAGAGGCTTTCTAATGTTTGGATTCAAATTGGAATCCTTGAGTTTGGATTCAAAATGGCGTTTAAGCCTGGAGGGTTTCATTGCTTCATAAGCAAAAATTTCATAACAAAATGCAATGAGAGTTGGGATCTTCCATATCGCACGTCCAGAAATATCCCATTTTCATCCCAGTAGTCACTGTTAAACTTCCTTTTAACTTTGTTCCTGCTCTTTTGGCTACTCCGATTGTTGTTTGGGATTCGATCAATGTTTCTTGCAATACTTTTTTTGACAATCTCTACACTGTTCTTCTCATACAGTCAACCAAGTCATTCACATCGATCACACCTTCCGCTTCGTTGTACATTGCAGTCGTCACGTTATTGACATCGGAATCACAGTGTCGCTGTTGTAGTTCACAAATCGCCACACTCGCAGCGTCACCACTAATTTGCACCTCGCTCGCAATCACAATCTTCGCTTTAGAGAACCAGATTTTAGTCAACGATTTATATTAACCAATTAACTGCTTAGTTTTTTGGAAAAATAAAAAAGGAGTTTCATACTGGGATATTCCGGGAGCACCAGCAAAGCGTTCAATTTGCACAAAAATTAACAACTGTAAACGTAGTCAAAAACCAAGGCATGAACAGTTTAACGCGGCCGAGTTTAAGCGCCAGTGCCGCGAGTCATACTCCGACACGTTGACCGAGCCTTGGCGAGGTCATACAAGAGAACAGGCTGGACTCCTCGCTAGGTGACGTCACAAAACCCTAACCGGCTATAGTCTTATCACTCGCTTAGGGAAACTACATATTTCGCTACTAAATGTAACAAATTTATGTGCATTAATTTTTTTAATTAAGCATCATCATGAACTCGACGTGGCCTGGATGACCAGGAAGGACGACGCTCGAGTGTTTCCTCCGCTCCACTGCCAGCAGGAGCTCTTGTCCATTCTCATTCTTTTTTTATTATTGCCGATAGTATTGCTTTGGCTCGACAAATTTGGGTGAAATTTCAAATTTCAGTTGGAAACACCTATGTAGATGTAAGTGGCCAGGCATGAGCATATGCTCCCACAAAAATATCTATCTTTAAGAGGGATAGGTCTATTTAATGATATATGAACATTCGACCTCGACACGGGATGTCCTAATCGGCAGAGAAGGTCCCTACTTGAACCTCGACCCTTTAACCTTGAACCATTCTCAGAACCACAGCTGCTGGATGACGGTACCATCAACGCTGCTGATTTCCCGCAGGATGGTGCACCCTCGACAAAACCTTTAAGAATCGGTGAATCGGACGTGCTGGAAGGGGTACATGGCCTGCTGATTTAACACCCCTTCATTCTCTCGGATGCGAAGGCAGAGGTAGACAAACAAAAGATTCGTGACGTCCAGCATCTGCGCGATCAGATTCATCCTGCAGTGGAGAGATGGAACTCGGGTCATGCTCCAGAATGCGTTAGCACGACTGAAGAGAGGTGGGTGGGAAATGGTTTATCATTCACTCTGATGGGAATAAACGCTAATATTAATGGTAAACGTGTGGTGAATGATAATTAAAGGTAAATGTAATCAACCTTAAGGTAAAGGTAAGTGTAATAAATGGTAATTGTGTGGTAAGAATGGTAAATGTTAATTAATGGTAAACGTGTGGAAATGGGATCGGTCTTCTATGGTCGTCTTCGCATGCGGCAATAATAATTTTCCTACAGACAAGCATATTCCAAGAAATACTGTAGATCGGGACATCATGGACACTGTATTTTAAGATTTTTAGAATCCCCTCAAATTCCGTACGATGCAGCCAACGCAGACGCACCACATTGAAACAAATTTTGCTCGAGCACAGATTCGTAGGGTTGTCATTGCGTTACATGCAACGAATCTCACGAGGAAAAAAAAAAAAAAAACAAGAGTCTTGAATCCCGCGTCCGCGTCCACGTCCACCGGAGCTGACAGCAGCTCTCCGGTTCCTGTGAGGGAATTCCAGTCTCGTGCCTCTAGTTCTGCAGATGCCTTTTCAATCGAGGGAGTCACGATACAACATTCCAAGATATTTACCGTGCTTATGAGAACGCAATGCAGTCGAAGAGCACCCACCGGCCAGGAGCTCAAACACATTTTCCGTGCAGTCGGCAAGCATGGGATCGAATCGGTCCATATGGACCTCGAGCATAAGACCTGGCTGTAACTAAATAGCATCTGAGGAAAGTAGATGTGCCCCCTAAATACAATGAATTACGCGAAATGTATAATATCCAGATTCCATCAGAATTGCAGGCTGTAAAAAGGCTGTGCAGTCATCCTGATTCCTCCGAACATTAATCTGGCCACGAAAACGAGCAAAACTTTCAGCAACGTGTAACCTATTACACGAAGACCGACTTTTGTTTCACATATTTGCCTCGAATCTTGGATTCCCGTTCTCTCGCATCATCGACATCGACGCATTTCCCAGTGCAGTCTCCAAGCGATACAAAGCGCGTAATCGCACGTGATGTCGCTGCAGTTCTCCAGCATCTCTGAAATCACGCACGCTCGGGATTTCCTCGACATCGTGGGGATCGAAGAGCCTCAGAATCTTCTGTGTCCTTTGGAGCCGTGTGCGATGCCGTCGATGCGGATGCGGATCTCATCTTGCTCGGTTGCAGGTTCGTAGCGCAGATGCACCAGAAATAACTTTCCGCGACCGCATCGACAGGATTTCTGCACGACTCACTAAAACTTGAGTCGATGTCATCAAATCGATGTCGATCCACTATACCAGACCGATCAAAAAGGAACGGAACTTTCGCTGCAGCTCAAATGACACTTGTCGAAATTGTTGGCCACTCTGCGGGCGTCGACTATGTTCACTTTGCACATGGTAAACATGTCAGTGGTCTTTCGTTTAAGGAACTCTGTTGGTGATAAAAAGAAATTGCCACGGTCAGTAACTTTCGGCGGATTTTACTGGAATGCCAGCGCTGGAGCAAAGGGCAAGGATGAAAATCGTTCTATGAGACTCTCGAGCTTTTGCAAAGATGCACCATATCTGCAGCAAGTACCTGCCGCACGTAGGTACATTTGCTGCTAAAGCTCGAGTCTCAGTAAACGATTTTCAGAGCTTCATCTTTGCCCTTTGCTCCAGCGCTGGTATTCCAGTAAAATCCGCCGAAAGTTACTGACCGTGGCAATTTCTTTTTATCACCAACAGAGTTCCTTAAAAGAAGGAACTATTAAATTTTTACCACGAGTCGCAAAGTGGATGCAGTTGAAATCTGCAGAGCGGCCAACAATTTCGACACGTGCTATTTGAGCTGCAGCGAAAGTTCCGCTCCTTTTTGATCAGCCTAGTACCTGACCCTAATCATGCACATTAGCTAAGAGAATAAGAGGGTAACGCGTGATACAAGTAGAGCATGTGTATGCAAACACGAAATGCACGTGCATCCAAAAAAAAAGGGAAATCCAGTATCGTGGCATTTCATGCGAAGCCCTCCAGAGTCAGCTTGGACCAGCACGACTCCAGTAGGAACGAATATGATAAAGTACTAAAGCCAATTTCCAACATGGTTGAGCAGCATCGAGATATACGTATTGCAACGAGCAACTAAACCGGTAAATAATATTGGTAAAATATGGTAAGGTGCGGTACCCAAATCCTGACTGCACGCCTCGCGGATGGTGAATCAGTTTTGCAGGCACCCTGTTCACTCACCCGTCATCTTCATTGACTTGAGTCCATTTTTTTCCCTGAAGTTTGGCCTCGTTCACATGACGGCTGCTCTTCTTTACAAAACGACTTGCAGACTTGTTTTATGGACATTTTTCACGCTCTGAAAGAAATATTTGAAAAGTTTTTAATCAAACGACACACTTCGTTTGGTTATGCATATTTACTACTATTGTATGCTACTATTATGCATATTTATTGCATAATTATATCATTAAATTTAATATTAATTGCCTAATCAAGGAAACGTTCTCGTGTGAACGAGCCCAAAGACCATTGTTTCCACGTTTCATCTGATACCAAATTTTCCCGCACCTCCAAACACGCACCCGAAAACGACTTCGGAAATCCAGTTAGTCGCAATCCGACAATCGGAAACGAAAGGACGCATCGCAGCCGATCGCGGCCGATCGCGGCCGCTGGGCCATCCCCGGCCGAAGGGAGGCACTCACGACTGGACGTGAAACTTTTTTTTTTTTTGAATTTGGAAATCCAGGCATCTGTCTCGAGCCACGCCGGTTGACGGAAAACCGACGATCGTTCGTCGCTAATTTGTGCCATGCTAGCCCAACGCTCGACCGAGCCAACTCACTCGCAAAGGAAAAAAAAAAAAAAAAAAATCAGTTATGATTTGCACGCAAACGCGGGGATTCTTTAACTTCATCGATTGGACTCGAGAAAGTACGGCTCCGTCAAAAAATATACGAAGTCGAATACAAATTTGCGTGAGGCCATTCCGAATTCGATGCAGAAAAGTCTGCGGCAGTCTGCAAACAAGTCCATGGGATTTTCCTAATTTCCCCAAAAGCTTAGAACACAAATAAGGCCATTTAATTAAATAATACATGGTTCGTCGGCAAAAACGGCAAAAGCAATGAGTTTGAACGAGTCCTAAGGGCCCATCAAAAGAAACTGACGGTAACGAGCTTCGTTTTGAAAGAACCGTCCTTGGCACCCATTCAAGTACGAAGAACGATTAACCGATGCTTCTGAAGATGAATAATTACGAGTTGAAAGAACGGTAGGCAAATGTGAACCAAATTGGTGGAGATGGTGTTTTCCGGTAAAGATGGTATGAGTAGGTCTAATCACACCGCAATCGCAGCGAACCGAATGCGCGAAAACCGATGGCGGGGAAACCGGTCTGCTATGCGTGCACTCCGTCTTTTTTTTTCTCTCTCTCTCTCTCTCCCCTCCCAGACGATATGAGGATATAGTTGTTTTATGTTATCTGGTTGGCTTTATCCTCTCCATGGGCACGATTTAGGCGTAGGTGCTACAGTGCAGGTACTGCAAGAACGGCAAAAGTGACTCACCCGGTGGTACGGAGGAAAACTGAGTACTAATTGGCACTTCAGAAGTCACGAACGAGAAACCTCCTAGATTCCATGTCTTTCAAAGCCAGCAGTCGAGGTCCTGCTCGGGTCGGGTCTGAGGGACCGCACGGGATGCACGGAGCACGGTGCGCGGTGGATCTGCGGGTACGAGTCGGTGCCAGAACTAGACCCGATGACACCTCGTGTGTCTACTGCCGAAGGGGGCAGGAACCATGGGAAGAGCCATGTGACTCGTTCAGTTTGTTTGTTTATGGGTCAAGGGAAAGGAGGGTCTGTGATTCGGACTCTGTCGACTTCGAATCATGCCTCATCAGCTTTTCATAGATTCCACGGGCGATAGGCAGGCTTTGATCAACGGGAACAGCCTCGAAGATGACAGTGACAGGGCCGTCGAAAACCCCGACGAAGGCCTAACGTTTGGCCGAAGTGCAGTCCCAAATGTTGAGAACAAGCCATTGACAAAATTGTACAAAAGGAGGTGGTATTTACTCCTTCTTTATGCAATCTACAGTTGCTGGCAGGTGAGATTGGCCCCTCACGAGCCCATGTTATGATATACCCACTTTAAGGAATGCATTCAACCCTCCAGGAAACTTTATGAAGTCAAGAATTTATTATCAAATCAGGATCTAGAATTCCTCATTTGATAAGAAACGCCCACTTGCCCCAGCAAAACCCTTCGTTCTATCTTCACAGATTTTTTTGCACAATTTTCACCCACACTGCCACTGTACACTATATCAAGTGTTGTTTCTCCCTTTCCACTAACAGGAAATCATCTGGTCAATGAACAAGCTCAATACAATCATTTACCTTCTAAACATAACCCTAAAGTCATGCAAAAAGCATTTATGCATATTTGGTTAACACTGATGACTTTCAACATTTTCCCAACAGACCTCAATTCTGTAGACTCACTCCCATTGTGGTCACATTTTCATGACAATATGGTATAGGAGCTATTGACTCCTATTGCAGTTCTCATTTAATGTTTAATATTTTCAAGTTTCATTATAGGACCTTCTTCAAGTAAGAAAAGCAAACTGGAAGGCTTCATTGCCCATGTGTCATGGGCATGTTGACAAATTTTGTCTAACCAGTGGGGACCCATGCCTGAAAGGCTGCCATTCAGCCAAATATAGTTTATGATTATTTGTAACTTATGTTGCAGGCAGGAGTGTACAATACATGGGGTCCATTGGAAGATTCAGTGAAGGCAGCATACCCAAATACATGGAGAGACAGCACTGTTGCACTACAAGTAGACTGGGGAGTCATCACTTACATCATTGGATTTGTTCCCATCTGCTGGCTTGCCATTTCCTACGGTGAGCACACTAGTTTTATGGGATCTAGCAATATACTGGATATAATTATTGTCACTTGTTCCAGGCCTGCGCTCTGCAATACTGGCAGGAGCTACTATGACAGCGATTGGGACAGGACTGCGTTGTTTGTCTCCAGATCCCATTCCTTTTCTATGGTAACCTTCATCCTACAGATTTAGAAGGTTCAGAATGTAGCAGTTTTCCTATTTATGCTGATCTTGTGGTATCTGAAATGGCGGTCATTCTTCTTGCAGGCTCGTAAATGTGTGCTCAATTCTAAACGGATTCGCTGGAGTGTGTGCATGTGCTATGGTTCCTGCATTCTCTTCTGTCTGGTTTCCTAATCATCAGAGAACCACAGCCACAGGCGAGTGGTTTTTTTTTTCAATGCTAGATGTTGATGACTTTATGCACTGATTTTTATTAATCCCATTTGGATTCCCATGCTCCTGACATAACAGGTGTGGTCGTAAACCTGAATCAACTGGGGATAGCATTATCCTTCTTCTGGGGTAACTGGTTAGTACCTGTGCGAAAGAATCATCATTTCTCATCAAAATTTATTAACTTGTGGATGAAGGAAGATGAAGCAGTTTCTTCAGCCATTGTGCCTTCTGACCCAGATCTCCACGAGCGTGATGTCATCCAGCATTTCATGTTGTTACGTACGTTGTAATCTCTCTTTGCATGCAGGTATGTAGCAGAAGGTGAAACTTTTTTTTTTCAACAGAGTTCATTGTGTCAGCCATCCTCTGTCTTCTTATTGCCCTGTATTTCCCTGATAAACCAAAGCTTCCACCGTCTCTAAGTTCCAATGTGCAGAGGCTAGAACTTTTGGCTTCATCCAAGCAAATACTCAGGTCAGCCCAAATGCATGCTGGTCATTTTCTCACTACATCGGTTGATAGAAAAACAAAAAAAGTTCTGATGCTTTATTTTTGTAGGAAGAGAGAGGGACTAATGCTGATCCTCATCATGACTCTTTCACAGGGAGTCCTGTCCAGCTGGGTCAGTGTGCTCAACATCAATGTGTCAGTCCTTAATGTCAACCAGGTTTGTTTCCCTCTCTTCACCTCTGGCTTCAGGAGTGTAATGATACTCTCAAACATGATGTGATATTTTAGCATGTCTCAGATTGGCTGGGAGTGGTGTCAGTTTGCAGTCAAGCCGTATGTGGAATGGTGGCTTCAGCTATCTTTGACCACTTACATCGGCATCTGAAAAGTGCCATAATGATTCTTCTGTCTGTCTCAACCATTTTCTATGCCATGTTCACACTCCTTTGCCTCAAGATCATCCCATTTTCAACATGTAAGCCTCAGTTATATGGAAAGCCAAAACCCTCGTTGTTAAAGAATCGAATGGAACCATGCATTGAAAACAAAGGAAACAACTCTTACCTATTGAGAATTAAGGTTTTCAACAGCATACTAGCCCATCCCTGAGCATGATGGATTCTTACATTTTGCTCTTCGCACTACAATCATTTCAAATTTCTCAAGGGAGGGGTATGAGACTTCTGTTTACCTCTCATGTACTTGAGCATGACATATTGATTTTAGGAGCTTTTTCACAAAAGTCTTGGTGACAGTATCTTTTTAATCCCCAGGACATGTTACAATGATTCCATTGTTATTCCCAAATGGCTGAGGAAAGGCTCTATTTTTGAAAATTAGAAAATTATGGAGGGTGTAGACAATATCTTGAGTTCTTTCTTGACCAGGCCATGACTTCATGTAGTTCAGACTCACCTCATCACTGTCACTTGGGAAATTAATAAGAACTGGATAGGTATTGCCACTTTGGGATGCTTCATATTTTCACAATTGATTCTTATATTCTTCTTTTACATTTTCTAATTGTGCAAGCAGTGAACCCCGACATCACTGTAACTGATGAAGAATATATTCACATGTAACCCTGTGGAAATATGGGTTTACATGGCATGCTTCTAATCTGTGTGACTGTTACAGAAATCTTATGAAAGCTCTGTGATAATATTTAATACATTAAACCAAGGGTTTTGAGTATTTTTGTCATGTTGCTTTTTTATTATTCAAAAACCATAATTTTTTAGGGATGCTGTTTGGGAGTGTGATACTGGCTACTTCACTGAATTATGCAGCCTATCCACTCACATTGGAGTTGGCAGCAGAAGTACTGTATCCTTCAGATGAAAATGCAGTTGGTGGGTGGCTGACAGCAGCTTTAAACTTATTTGGTTTTCTGTTCTTCACAGCATTCTTCATTCCAAAAATTGGTCAGTGTCAATCCATCATTAGCCAAGAAAAACTATGGATGCAGGCTAAATTTATTTTTGGATTTCATTTAAAGGTGTTTTGTGGATCAACTACACCCAGCTGGGAACTCTTCTCATCTCCTTGCCACTACTCTATTATTTCAAAGCAGATCTGCGAAGATCACAAGAAGATGAGTCACTCCAATCACAGTCTGTGACCAGAGCAGCCAGTTGACATCTGCTTGATATATGCCCAGTCATGATGATTTATACCCAGTGATGTTTTATATTGCAGCATTTCCAGGATGATCTCCATGACATTAATAAAAGCAAAAATATTATTTTTGATTCTGCTCCAAATTTTGAAATATGCCAAAACGTCAATGAGACCAAATTTGTGTCTTCCATGGGGATCAATTTTGCTGCTTTGATATATTTTGGATTAATGCTTTACCTGATGGACAGAATAGAGCAGATGAATAAAAACAGCACTTATTTGCACTCCCTTTGCAGTAGCATTGATAAATAAAAACCACAAGAAACTTTCATTAAATACCTTTATAACTTCCTTCAACATGCTATACAAATCCACCAGGGATGAAAATACTTGTACAAGGGAACCTTGTGTGCAGGCAACAAGGTTAAGGATGGGCTTAAGAAACATGTGGAAAAGTAATTAACAGGTGGATGGATTCTTAGAAGCACAGACCATGAGCACAATAGTGATATGTTGTCACTGCACCACCAGATACTTGGCTGGATCAAAGCTTTTGGTAACAAACATTTTTTCAACAGTACACTACTCCACAAGGGATCAAAAAGTTGAATCTTGCACTAGCAAAGCACCGGGTCATTTTAATAGACTGTGCTTCTCCATCCCTCCACTAATTAAGAATTTTCATTCTCCATAGAGACTCACTGAATGCTATGCCTTAGAGATCTTGCAAGATTTTTCAATAATAAATATGAAAAACAATCCAGATGATCTCTAGTTCTAGGAAGGCGAGATCTATTCTTTGTCAACTGCAGATCTTAGGAAGGAGAATCTACAAGTGTGGCCCAAAGCCCAGAGATTCAAGAGACAGAACCCACCAATGTGTCATGGGTGTGTTAAGGGTTTACCTATTGCACTGACTTATGCCATCATGACTAACCAAGAGAGGACTATTGTCATTCTATTGTCATGCGGTACTTTGGTAGTACGAGCCCAAACTTAGACTCGATACCCGTGATGATTGGAAGAGCAAGACGGAGGCCACCGATGTGATCTGGGTTCCCAGAAACCATTTCTGGTGCCTCAGGTACAAACACCTTTCCTTCAGAACCAGTCGGTCGTCTGCAATATAAATAAACAGGTTGTTGTCAGCATGTCATCATTGCTAAGGCCATTTAATGATAGGATGACCTAGCATATGCGAAACTGACCTTCCACCAAAGTCAACATAAAATAACCTCTGAAGGACCTCATATGTCAGTAGAGTCACACCAAACTGGGGTGATGACCTGAACACACGAGCTGAAGGAGAGAAGTTCATTAGTGAAACTTGACAAGATGAAAAATATTGCCCAATACTGGAGTGCCACAACCTGCAGTGCCCTTCCAGAAGGCACGGAATCCCTCTTCCACATAGATCTTCTTGGCAGCATCAATGATACCAGAGTATGTTGTTTGTCCTTTTCTAGCAGCAACCTTGTGGTGATAAGAGTTCTCATGTGAATTGAATGAACACTTTTAATGTGACCCAGGTGAAAACAGCCCTCACTTGAAGTCTTGTCTTGATGACATCAGCTGGAGTCACAAGAGAAGCAGCTGGAACTCCACCAATAGCACCAGCAATGAGCAATGTAATAGGGCTGTTGTAGCCAGATTCATCAGCCATCAACCGCTTGGTGTGTGCATACACTGGGAAATAGATGGCCGAGAACGGGATGTCTCGTAGGAAACAGGCCCTTGAACCCTGACATAACACAACACTGAAAATCCTCATCAATTTTTCAAATAATTAGAGCAAATGTGAGGGGTATGAGACCTTATAAAGACCAAAGAAACCAAGGTCCTGGATGACAGTCCAGGCCCTGGTCTTGGCCGTGCTTGCTATCTCTCCTGCAACTTGCAGTCGAATCTTTACAATCTCCAGGGGATTTGTGAAGATCACCTGGGAACCTCCTGCCTAAACATTAAAGGAACATATCCTCTTTGACATGATAAAGCCAATGGTACTATAACAAAATATAAATTTTGAATAACTCACACAGCCTCCAGCAATGATCTCTCCATATAAAGGGATCTTCCCACTGGCATCCGTAAACTTGTCTCGCACAAGATCATTCACCTACACAGAAATAAAATGGTGCTCAGTCAATGTAAACTCACTTATCAGCAATGAACAAAGTGAAGAGGCAAACCGTAAGCTTGATGGCTTTCTCAGGTGCCACACCGACAATCTGTGGCAGAAGACCACGGTACAGTCCAAAGAAACCCTCGTGTCGTAGGACCTTCTGACAACAGTCCCATGAGTTCTTGTACATCAGCTCACCAATAAAGGATGTGGAACGCTGGTTCTGCAACCGGGTCTTCACCAGATCAATTGGGTAGACAGCTGTAGCTCCCACAGCTGTCAGATGATATAAAAAAAGAGGTTTATGAATATCATCACAAATTATTTTCTGCCTCAATTTGGTTTAAGACCAACATTATAGATTTCAGATTAACCACTGCAAACTGATCAATAAGATCATTTATATTTACTGCATAAAATAAAAAGTGATAGCCTTTCTCTATGCCAAGTAAGGTTGGAAAATAATGCTGTAAATGTTGCCTCATTCTGCAGTTATTTCAATATTATAATCAGAAAAAAACTTAAATATTCACACAGCACAATGCTGGAAGGGCAGTCCTGTAAGAATGAGTATATGTACAAAGTGCTGACATTTGGAATTTGTAGCAGCCTTCACTAGAGAATCACTGAGTATTACAGTATTACTGTGACATTTCTGACAAAGTAACCTTTATTTTACTCTCAGGATAGAAGTCTCAAAGTAGCTTAACTGTTCTTTAGTCTATTAAATCCATTTTTGCAGAGTTACTACATATCCATTCAGTCAATGAATATTTGATATGAAAAATTTAGAAGGCAATTTAATAACAAAAATGCATTTCTCCTAATTGCAATGAAGATTGAAGATATGGCATGAATAATTTTCAACAACCTGTGGAAACACTGAATACACCTCACCTCCAGCAAAAGAACCCAGCGTGAAACGATATGCACTCTCTAGGATCTCGATCATTATTCCCCTCTCATCAGGGCTCTAAAAAATTCAATTTTTTCTACTGCATAGGAAAAGAAGATAACAGCAGGATGGGTCATTCCAGCAGAATTGTGGACTTACAGAGACAGCTTTGACTGCAGTCATTCTCATGTGTACGGATTTCATAGCCAGCTCAGGTGTCATCATGTCCAGGTCCTCATAAATCACACGACTGCATGACATAATCATATATCACCATAACTGAGAGCGAAATGAAGAACTTTCTTGCATGCAAAAATATATCATTACAGCAGAAGAAAATTGGTGACTGCTCAGCAGTGAGCACTTTTTACCTGGATATACTGTGGGGGCACAACTTCAAAGCAAAATTATACCCATGCAGTAGAAATAGTGGAAACTTAAAAAAGATTTTCCCATGCAAATTCAAGGTAATCAGGGCTTCCATAACTGAATGCCACAAGCCAAAACAATTATTTAAAAAATATCAGCTCTGCTTCTGAAACAAATTACCCGAGTTTGGCTGATGCTAAAACCTCCTCCTTTTGTCTTGCATAAAAAAGAGAAGACAAGACTAAAAATTCAGAACTCTATTCTGGACACAAACCTGGGAAAAATAAGAGCATGAAGATCTGCTTCCAGATCTCACCTGGTCTGCCGAATCAATTGAACGAGGACATAGAGGATGTCAACCTCCAAGGGGGTGATCTGCGACATCATTTGTGCCGAACGGAGGAATTCCTCTGCATTATATAGAAAAATCCTCATTATACCAACAACACAACATTCACACATATCCCAATCAGAGATGCAAAACTAGTGTTTTTCATTTGACTTGGACACTTGTGCATGGGATGATCCTCATGCAAGAGAATTGAAGTCAAGCAAAAAACACTAACTAATAGACAGATATTGCTGATACTGGCAGAACTCAGTACCAATCATTGTAATCATTAATATGAATACTTTAGCCTTCAAGCAGTTTTCCAGTTTTTTACAGTGAAATTATTTTCTTTTTTAAAAGGACAGGACATACAGTGGACACAAGTGACATAGAGATATTAAGGTGCACAGAGAGGAAGGGGGTGCCCACTTGGCACAGGCACCACATCTGAATGACAATCCCTCAGGCTGGGACACCCTTTGACCATCCTACAGGAGGTCAAAGGATGTTCATGAGTTGTCAAAGCCCATGACTGCCACAAGTGGTTTTTAAGGTGTACTGCACCAGTATCTCCTAGACGTGGCACACAGAATGGCATGTGTGTTATCCCACATGAAGCAGACACTCCCCATGAAAGCAGGTGGGTCACCTAATGGCAGAGGAAGAGCCCACTGCTACGTGGACTTGATCCCTTGCCTCCTGGGAAGCCAGAGAAGTTTCCTTATCGAGAACAGAGAACCACTCAGCCATCAAACCCAGTGCTTTACCATGAGATTCACATTTTATTTCTCAGGTAAGGATGACGAAACCATTCCCTCACACTTCCCGAGGCTGATGTTTTAGTGTCAATTTAGTCCCATGTCAGATGCCCAAAGATCCAAGCCTCAAGACATTTATTGTAAGGGCAACATGGATATTCTCATTTATTCCCTCTTAATCATGTAATAATTTTTAAGATGGGACATCCAACAGGCACAAAGGATCACTGATTTTTTTTCACAGTACATACACGATGGAAAGATGTTTCTTCAAGATCTTGTAGACATTGAGGGTGGATTGCTTGGAACCGTGAGTGCCAAAAGTAACATTTTACAAGGGTTAATTGAAAAGTTTTAAGCTGAGGTAGGAAAGAAAAGTGCAATTGTTTTAAATTTTATATATAATGTGCCTCGGGCTGTTGTAATATCCACTAAGTTTTATTCTTAAACTCACCATAGTTTTATGCATGAGGTCATCTGTAAGCACAGAAGAACCCAACACCACCTGGACATAGTTCCTGGGTTCCCATCAGAAGCCCAAATTACTAGGCTGTCAAACCCAATTAAATGACATCCACTCTTCACTTTTGTATAATATGATTTTGCTGAGGGGATGTTTAAGATAAATAAGATAATTTAATTCTTCAAGGTACCTACCACTTCATGGCACAGACATATTTGGAGAAGTGGCATGAGGAGTTGTTTTTAAATGAGATAATTTAATTCTTCAAGGTACTTACCACTTCATGGCACAGACATATTTGGAGAAGTGGCATGAGGAGTTGTTTTTCCTTTCTGAAAGGAGCCAAGTGCAATTTTCACATGGCGGTAATTCAAAATACGATGCCATCAATCAATCAATACAAGGGCTCGAAAATGCAACCTGCAAACATGTTTCCTATTGGGTCATTCCACAATGCACACAATTAAGAAGTTCCATCGCTCTGTTTCAGATATCTTAAGACCCTGTATGGCCAGATTACAATTCCAAACTTCATATCATCTTCCAAATTCTAATGAAGAATATCACCTTTCGTGACTTCGGCCAATCGGTCACCAACTGTGGCATTCAGATAGATTTTCTTGATGAGCTCCATGTTTTGAAGGAGGGAGATGAAAGCCACAAAGTAGGGGAAGGAGACAGGACGTCCACCTAGACCTCCTCCGGCAGCCTAGTGGTAACAATTTCTAGTCTTATTCATCAAATGAAAAAAAAAAAAAAAACAGGTGAGAGATCAAACAGCTCAGCCAATCCATAAGCCATATAAAGAGAAAGACTAATTTCAATCAAAATTGCTTCATTGCATTTTAAAAATCTCCCTTGAATTGGATACACTTGGCTTGATAATCCATATTCTTTTTCATTCCTTCACAGACTATTTTTCTGGAGGCTCTTCAATGTTATAGTTGCAGTTGTATTCACTTCATCTGGACTGTTATAGCGCTCTGAACAGAGCTCGATCTAGATCAGGGGTTCCCAAACCCAGGGTCGTGACCCATGTTTGGGTTGCAACCCAGGGTTTTGGATGTTGAATTTTGAGTCGTGACCAAAAAAGTTCGGGAACCACTGATCTAGATGATGACTTTTGGCAGATGGAAGTCACAAGGACTCAAGTCTGCTTGCAACATAGCCATGAGGCCTGTTAAGTCTGATTTGCTAATTTACAGCAAAAGTAACTTGCCTAAATGGGGGAGGAGGAAAAGGAATGGTCCCTTTTGGTCAATTTGGGCAGATCGGAAACTTTGAATATTACCATGTCTATATTTTCTCATATTAAAAAGAATTTCACATCTCTGTCAAGGATATGATGCCATCATGGGATGTCCTCTTCAAGCCCTTCTCAGCAGGGCATATTTTAATGCGCATTCGTAACAGATTTGTGCAGTTCTGAATTGGAATATGTGCAGTTCAAACTGGCCAAGAATTAAATGGGATAACAAAAATTTGACTAAAAACTTATGCTAAATCTTATCTTTCTTTTCTAACGTTCATGATCTGCGTGAGGGGGGAGGGGCTCAGCGCCCTTCCAACCACTACCACACAAGGGTTAAAATCATTTGTGCAGTTCTGATTTTTTTTCTTACAATATGCTCTGCTTCTCGGAATATGCTCCAAATCTAGCAATACTGTCTGTCAACCCGCTCACGCAAAGCTGTAGAAATCACTCGTCAGACGAACGACCCACTGCGTAAAGTAGTGATGACACGGATGGCGGCCGGACTTCTCCTCATAACCGCGCCCCGCGCTCCTCCCACCGTCTCATGGCTCTTTTCAGTTCGTCTCCTTCCCTCGAATAACAACCCTTCGCCATAAAACGATGAAGCCTATTTATATGATGATCGTGAACGGCTACAGAAAACTCCCGAAATAGCTAGTAATATAGAAAAAAAAAGACAACGGATCGGAATTCCGCGCGCGGTCCCAGAAGTCCCAGTCCTCCCTCCGCTTTGGCCGGAGATCAAGTGAAACGAATGAATGCTGCTCCCCTTCCGAGTTTCCTTCGTACCAATAGGAGCGTTGTGCAATAGGCACACTCGAACACCCTCTCGTTTTTTGCCTTCCCCGAGATGTTATCAGGCACGACACAAAGATCTGGACTTCACGGAAGGGGTAGGGTCCGAAAGGCGGCCGAACACGAGGCGGCGTTAATTTCGCGCCAGAAACATGAAATCCGCCGCCAGAAGTCCCAGCAGTCCATCGTCGGGGACCCATGGCACCCCCAACCCACTGCCCTTTCCTCTATCTCAAACACGATCTTCCACGCGCCGTCGGTGCTTCCGGGAAGCTCGGTCAACGAACAACGAAGGCGTCCAACGAAATCGTTAGCACTCATTTTATGTTAGTGTATTAAACGGAACGAGATGTACAGGTGAACAAGAGACCCGTTTCCTGTTGCATGCCATAAGCGAAGCACTGATAGAAAAAGTAAGAGGGTCCACGGAAACTCGGGAACAACCGTTCTCGTGCAATTCATGCATTTTTTCATTTTTCCAGTTTTTTTTTTGCAGGTAAGTGGGGAGGCACGTACTCTTCTCCCACCCCCCCCCCCCCTACACTACGCCCCTGCATGCAAGGCATCCAATGTCGCAACATGTAAGAAACCAAGAGACGAGTAACGATGGGGACTCCGATAGAAGACAGCAAGATCGCGCAAGCGCAACTTTACATTCCATACGGCAGGGGTTCCCAAACCCTGGGTCGCGACCCAGGGTATGGATGTTGAATTTTGAGTCGTGACCAAAAAAGTTTGGGTACCACTGCCATACAGCCTCCATACATTCTCAAACGCTTCCCTCTCCCTTCCCTCTCATCCCACCAGACCATTTTTGTTCTCGTTTCCCGAGCGCCAGCCTGGGACAAAGTGCATCCAATTCAAGAGAGATCACGACCACAAAGCAACGAAGAGACCGTACAACCTGCATGAGTCTTTCCCTTCGTACGATCAGGGGACTTCAGACCCCCTTGCTATGCCACTGGTCTTGGACATATATGCTTTACTATCAGGCAGCCAAGAGAATAAAGTACTTACTGCAACCAAATTCATCCGGACGACTGGGGTTAGCAGATGACTCTTGATGCTGACCATGATGTCGTTGAAGTCGAGGGCCGAGATGAAACCTTGACCGCGCTTGTCAAACCGACGAAATGCCTGGAGGGCATGCTCCTCGTGGAAGTCCTTCAGGGAACAACCCCACACAACCATAATGTCATGCCACCACAAAACCAATCTCAATGTTTCTCCCTGGGGTGGGTTTACACATGCAATTAGGCCAACATGGGAGATCCTAGCCCTAGATGACCTACATCAATAAGACCTACTTCCACATAATATTGTTCTTCACCATAATCACTCAAGTGTTAAACACTGGAGGAACACTCCTCCCGTGTTTAACCTGTGGGTGCATTCATGTGTAAATCTACCCTTAATAAAGGCATCCATTGAAATCCCAGATAGGGTAGCTAAGGTGACCCTCCTTATGCTAACTAATGCTCACAAAGTTATCACAAACCATTTACAAGTGTAGCTTAAGGTTAGTGTCCAAAAGGTGCTAAGCAATGTGATCAGAGGCTGTCAAGATCCTCAGTTCCTTGGGAGAAAATTTCTGGCAATACCCAGTGCACTATTTTTTAACCATAAAGCTCTAAAACTCATTTGTTGGGCTATTAAAAACTAATACTACCACTATTGAAAAGGGTAATACCACTTCTTCATTCTTTTGGTCCTGACAAATTTTTCCCTGTCATTTTCAACCAGGGGACCCTGCAAGACTCACATGAAGAAGCTGACTGAACTCAGGGAAACTGATGATTCTCTTCTTGTCCTTCCCAAAGTACAGCTTCATCAGATCTGAGTCCAAGTCAAATGGCAGGCGTTGATAGAGAGATGTCTGCTGGATGACCTCAGAAAATTCATCTGATGAGAAATGAATGCAATAAAAGAATTTGTCTCCTTTGCAATTAGGTCAATACATATGATCTGAGGCAACTGTTTTTACCGAATGAAACCATTCCATTTCCATTGGTGTCAAACAGCTGAAATGCTGTTTTATAGAGGGCATCTGGTGCACACAGGAGAGCTTCAAAGGCTTGAAATTCTGGGAATGATATTACCCTATACACACAATTGGATGGATGGACCAAGTGAATACAGTGAAAAACAGAAACAATGATTTTATGGATGAAAAACCCACCCATCTTTGCTTGTGTCAACAATGCCTGCCAGGAGTTTCACAGCTTCGGAATTGTAGTTAGCCTCCTGGTAAAGGCCAAGATATTTTTGAACGAAGTCTTCCCCTGACATAAACTTCTCGCCAGCCTTGTCTATGCTGGCATACTGTAAAAAAAAAATGAAAGAATGAACATTGAGGATACATCAATCCAGGTGTGACCAATGCTGATACTCTTATAATTCTTCACTACCCACCCATACCAATACCTGCATGTGTTTTCTGAAAAAATGGAAAGTGAAAAAATCTAAAAAAGATGGACCATGCTTGCACAAAATCAGGCACTGTTAACATTTCTGAGGCATGAGAGCTCAATGGACAACTGGAATTTGCCCCCCCCTGGTTCTGGCTAGACTCCCATGATATGCCTCAAGACAAGATCCACTTGTCACTCAAGAAAAGAGCCAAATGTTTGGCAACTAATATATATTATATATATATTTCTATTTTTCTGGTGCTGTGTGACTGAGATAAAAACTTAACAATGTAACTAGAAATTTGACCAGCCAATAATAGTTCCATCATCAGGAAATTGCAACCAGGCCACTATTCATCTTTAGATGATATGTAGGCAAAGTGAGCAATGAAAAAAAATTAACAAGTAGCATAAAATAGCATTGGGACAACCTGCCATGTTTGATGAGTACTACTGAGATGCATTAGGTATACTCAGGTACGTGAAATGTGGTAAGTGAATAGACAAAAATTGAGTAATGAATATTTTGTTCTTTCCTTCTTGAACACATGGCATATTATGGGGTTTCTTTTGGACATCTGGCTAAACTGTCTCAAAAATATCAAATCTTTTGACCAGGAAAATAGAGCAGTGTGAATTTCAGAAGAAAACAATATTGTAATTCTTACACACTTAAACTACAATGTAGCATTTCCAGATGGTCTAACTTGACACCTATCATCTTTCACAGTGGATCCAGGCTGAATGTTGAGGATTGCAGTACTGACAATGAAATTCAACTAAGTTAAATCTATGCTGAAGCATAAAGATTCTCAGACAGATTTTCTGCCTCTGCCACTTTTAAAAATGGGGATAGTCTGGGATGAGGTGGGTATATACTATAAAATACTTAACCAGGACTAAAGCCATTTGGAAACAAAATAGGCTCAGGCCTACTCACCTTCTGAAAGACCTGCCATAGCTTCTCTGAGTCTGCTCTTTTCAACTGCAAGAAAATACAGACATAAGACATATCAGCCAGACTCATAAGTATACTTGGGTTCTACTTCCAGTAAAAAAAAAGGGTCTATTATGAACCTCATATGTAAAAGTTGGAACATCTATTATTTTCTACAGATGTAAATTATCTTTGTGGACTAGTTAGGCATCCCTACAGGGACAGATAGATGCAAACTGATGCCAGTACCTAATATTTTGCACACTCTCTCCACAATGTTTGGCACTATCCACCTAGCAATGAGCCTTCAGATCTTCTCCCTCCCCTCAAGAATTCCTCTTATTGGACAAAGGGGATTGGCTGCTGCAAATTTATTTAACTTGAATTTGAGCAATTTGAAAACATGTATATATGCAACAGTCCTTCCTCCACAGAACCAAATCACATCATCATTCTCTCTCAGATGCTGTCTTCTTCCCTTTTGCTATTCACAATATCTACAGAGCTTTTTTTCACCCTGAGAAAGTGTGAATCTTTCATCAAGAAAAAGACTTCAAAATGATAACAGTTAAAATATATAAATTTCTGATAGGTTAAGAAGCAAAACACCATATGGAATAGCAGGAATTAAAAAGAATAAGAATGAAGCAAACAATAAAGAAAGATGGATTAAATAAATATTTTTTAAATCTGGTATATCAAGCTGGGCAAAGTGCTTCCCTGCCTATGCGACAGATATAATATGCATCAGGCAAGACACTTTGTCTTGAAGTAACACAAACATCAGTTCAGCAGTGTCTTTGCCACAAGAAAAGAGGGAGCCTTGAAATCTACATGACATAAGTAGGCTGAAGAAGCTAAAGCCTCCAAAACTAATGACTAAAAGCGTATTACTTCCAGGATTGATTATACTATTTTTAGCTTATGTTTATTATATGCATGAAATAATCAAATGAAAAGAGTTAAGCAGAAAAAAAGCCAATGCTACAATGATACATTCAAAAGAGAAAATATAAAGCACAAAGTCCAGACAATAGTTTAAAACCAGCCTACTAGCAATAGAGAAGAATTAATCATCTTTAAAGGTTATCAAAGCCTTCCACAAAATGCACTGGAAAATAAAATGAACAAAGGAAAGCTCTAAAAGTGCAACAGACATGTAAGAGGAATGTGTAATTGGACTAATCAAATGCCACCAGGGGTAGACCTACTCCACATTATCATTGTGGCCATTCAGGGGCCTTGTATCTTCCATTCCAAGAGTCCTCTAGCCAAAATACAGATTGCACTCCTCTGAAAATCCAGAACAAAATTGGAGTTACCATTCTGACAAGGTTATGGCTATGAGTATCCACCACACTGTCTTCAAGGAAGAATAGGCTAGACTACCACCTCAAAAACCAGACATCACAAACTGAGGGTTCTGACCTGAATCCGTTACCCAACGAGCAAACTGGGAAGTATAAACCTGCATTCATCAACTTGGGAGCCTTTAAACATGAGCAAATGTGCTTGGCACAGGTCCAACTTGATGCCTAATGGTGCCATTATACATTTGGGCCTTTGTACCTTGTAGAAGCGACTCTTTGTGCATATCTGCTTGCTCTCCACGTTTAACATCAATGACTGGAAAAGCCAAACGAACGTTTTTGTGCCGAAATTTAGCAGAAGGTAACTCACCTCTGGGCCTAAGGGCAGCGCCATGCTTACTGCAACTAGCACATGCCTTGACTCAATTAGGTGTCAGTCACCTATCGGGTCTAAGGTGCGACAATTCATGGGTTATCAGCCAGGAAAATCACGCTTTCAAATCGTATCTGAGCATAAATCGACAATTAACTTTTACATATGGATCAGTATTGTTATATAATTTTTTTTAAACCAGCGATGAGCGGCATGGGAGTTCTGACAGCACTGACTGACAGGAAACTGTCACGTGTATGACATTGACGTGAAGGGCGGCACTGCTTGTGCGTTTCTAGGTTAACTTTAGTTGTGCGTCTTTTTTGTACCAGTGTGGCTGGAGAGCTTGGAAGGTCAAGATGCCTAACGACGATGGTGCAGTGCATCCCAGGAATATTATGAAAGTCAGAAGTAAGAACCCTTCTGCGATTTCGGTTTTTGCCTTTTTTTCGCTTCGTCTTGTTTCTAAAACGAATGCACAATTTTCAGCTCCACGCTCTGCCAAGAAATTAGCCGAAAAGAAGATACTGAGCAGTGTTGGAGAGGAACCCAAACGGAGCAGAATTCGGTCTAGGCTCTTGGAAGAATCGGAGGAGGAGGTTTCCGTCGATGAGAAACCCAAAGGGACCTCCGGTAAGTTCGCAAGCATACGGCATGCATCATTTTGTACTTGAACCCTTTAATGGCTGGTGCTTTCTTTCAAAGGATAGGCCTATCACAGTAGCAGCAACTGCAAAGATAAATTTTTTTTGGTTGAGGGATAAGATTCGATGTGAATCTTTTCCATTGCAAGGGTTGAATTAAGGTGGAATGGAAATTTTCTTCCCAGTGGATGTTGCAGAATCATCTGAAGATCTGACAGCCATGCATGTGTTTGGGTTTCGCAAGGCTTCCTCCAGGGCTGAGAAGGAAATGCCTTCTGGCATTACTCCCAGCCCTGGGAAATTGAAAGACAAGTCAAAGAAATCCCCAAACATTATCCAGGAAGAGGAGACTTTGCAGAATGGAGACCCCATTGGCCCTGATATGGATAATGGTGGTTCTCTAGATTCTGTAGATCCAGCTTCTTCTGTCACACCCAAAGCCAAGAGAAGTCATAGATTGTGTGCTTCTGGGCATACTAGGTCAACAAAAAAAGTTTCAAACACAACTCCAAGAGCTGCCAAGAGTAATGCTCAAGTTGGTCAGTTAGCCCATCTTAATAATCATTTTCATTAACTGAGTGCATACTTATTGTACATACGTATTGATTTCTTGTACTTATGGTCTGTATAGCCTTGGGAAAATTCTTTGAGGAGATGGAGGCTGGAGACAACATCTACAGTTGTTCTTCATTATCCTCAAAATCTCCTGAAACTCCGACATCTTCTAAGAAAAGCAAGAAACTTGAGGCAGAGTTGGCAGAAGGAACAACACGACAGAGTTCGAGAAAGAGCAGGCATGTTGCTCCTTCGGTAACGCCAACAACTAAGAGTGGCCATAAACTGGAATTTGAAACCCTACAGGAAACTCCAAAGAGTTCTAAATCCAAAGGAAAAGAAACTTCAAGGAGTACAAAGTCTCTCAGGAAAGCCTCTGCTACTCCAAGTGCTGCCAAGAATAATGCCCGTATTGGTCAGTCAATTGAGCTAGGTTGTTTTCCCTCAGTTGAGCAAATAACATTCTTAATATTGTCTTTTCAGATTTGCAAAAGATGTGGCCGGATATAGACAAGGAAGACAGTGGCAGTGATTCTTCCAATGCCCCCCAAAAACAAAGATCTACCAAGAAAAAGAAGACACTGGAAGAAGGGTCAGCAGTTAGGAGGACACAGCAGAGTTCAAAGAAGATCTCTTTCAAAGAAGAGGAGGTAAATGCATCTCCTCCCACGACACCCACGACCAAGAGAAGCCGCAAATTGGGATCTGAAACCCCCAAGAGTTCTCAGACTAAAGGAGTCAGGACTCCGAGAAATACTAAGTCAGCCAAGAAAGCATCAGTCACTGCAACTCCAAGGGCTGTCAAGAGGGAAACCCAGATAGGTATCTCACTGTAATTTTTGTTCAGTTTGGCAATTACTTGCAGAGGGGAATGGATCCCTGCCTCTAGGTAAGCCTAACAATTATGTAGCAATATCTTGATGGTTACCCTCATCTAATGCTTGAAAGGTGTTTCATTGTGTTCTTGATCTTCCAATGATTAGTGAAGTATTAATTTTTTGCATGAAGTAGGCACACCAAGTCCCACACATCAGGTAATGGTTCTGATTGAGTGAGAGACAATCCTGCAGAACCTATGCCTGTTTTATATAATTATGTTCTTAGCTTCGTCAGGGTTCACACTAACTTTTTTATATCTTGAATCCTGGTGCCTAGCTTCAGCTCAGTGGGAACATGTTCAGGTGGTTGTCAATGAATCCCACAGACTTGGATGCCTTGCAGGTATGAGTCCCTCCAAGAAAATGAGTCAGGGACTCACTATAGCGAGTTAACATAAACCCTGCTTCATGAATCGGCTGACTCTGGCCAATTTTCGAAGATAAGATGTGACCTGTTATTTTCACTGACTTTGAGAAAAATAATCACCTTTGAATAATTATATTGGGAGGGAAACCTTTGACTCCTCATTACTGCATTTTTCTAGTTCCAGTTGAAATATCAACCCCCATTGCTTCATCTGGCTTCTGCTGAGGAGGGGATCTATCTGCTTGTAATTGCCAATTAATGAGTAAAGATACTCAAGGAATGATTGAATTTATATGGTCTGCTTAGCATTGGAAAAGATGATGGAGGAGATGGACTCTGAAGACAGTGACTATTCTCCTTCCTCATCCTCTGAGGCTTCTGAACCTGATGAAGTGCATCCCAAGCATCAGCCTATTCTTACCTCAAAAACTATTCTTCGTTCCAGACAAAAGCTTTTTGTCAGAGCTGTATGTTACCTGCTTGTTTATGTTTTCATGAAGAGTATGTATTTTGCATAGGTATGCATTCTAAAGTAAGATATGGACTGAATGAAGGTGGAAAATGCTGATGAGTACTTTGAAGCGCAAGGTTCTCGCACCTTGACTTCGGACCACACGCTTGGAAAAGTGAATCTGTCTGACATCTCCATGGATTCCATGCAGAAACACGTCCGTGAGGGACAGAAGCATCATGAGTCAGAACTGAATGACATCATGGCTGAGCTGCAGCTCTCCTTCCCCAAGTGGATGTTTTGCCTCAGGTATGGGTCTTCCAGGTCAAGATTAGTCATTAGTTTTTTTTATTTATAACTCTTGAGAATCCCCTTTGGTTGTGATTTTCAGTCAGAACTTCAACATCTTGCTTCATGGCTTGGGATCCAAGCGTGGCTTACTGAATCTGTTTAGGAAAGAATGTCTATCAGAGGAAACACATGTTGTCATCAATGGCTATTTCCCAGCACTCACCCTGCAACATGTGAGCCACTTTTGTCATTTGACTTGTATTTGAATGAGTGCAGGTGGATGTACTTGTAACTTTTGTTTAACTAGATCTTGAGCACAGTGATTGAAGGTGCATTTGGTACTCAAGTTCCTCAGACATCTGTGCAAGATCAACTGGACTTCATCATTGAGGCATCTGAAGCAGAAACACTTTACCTGGTGATTAACAATATTGATGGCAGCACACTTCGCAGTGAGAAGACACAGAGGGCACTAGCTTTCCTGGCAGCTGCCCGTAACATTCATATCATAGCATCAGTAGATCACATTAATACAGCCTTGTGTGAGTATCTCCCATTTCTATTTAAAGTTTCCGTAGAGTTCATTATTTACTCTCTCCCTTGTCAAGAAGTTAATGGTCTAGTCTTATGATGAGAATTACATGAGCCCAGCCATGTGTAGAATGTAAAACAAAGCTACATTTATTGTGATACATGTCCACTTGCCATCTTCATCATTTTAAAACTGATGTATAACTAGAGGCAGGAATGGACTTCATTTACCATAGTAAATAATGAACTTAAGAGGAAATTCAAATTGATCACAAGCTTGGGATTTGTCTGGTTTGCTTTTTGTTTGCCTAAATGGTTTGTATATGTATCATGTATGTATTGTGTGAAGTGTGGGACCAGAGGATGCAAGCACAATTCAACTGGCTGTGGATTGATGCAACCACATTCCAGCCTTACTTCAAGGAGACAGCATTCGAGAATCAGCTCCTGTCAAAGACAACAGGAGCCTTGGCGTTGTCCTCCTTGCGTCATGTTTTCCATTCCCTTACCCCCAATGCTCAGGGAATCTTCATACTCCTCCTCAAGAATCGGCTCGATCACACCGATGATCCCACATTTGGCGGTATCATCCTCTTGGCTCCCTTTTCTTTGACTGTAGGTTATTGTCTCAAGAGATGCCAGTTTGGAGGAGGGGATAGAAATGTGATGAGAAAGGTGGGCTGAAATGTAACTTGCTATCATTGAGGCAAGCTGGGGATTCCAGTCTTATTTGAGTCTATTTTCCCACTACATCCCTTTTCCCTGCCTCATGGCATCAAGTATGAATATGTTATAGCTGAATTTACAATTGTTATCAATAGGGATGCCATTCAGCCAGTGTTATTCTCGGTGTCGTGAGGAGTTTCTGGCAAGCTCAGATGCAGCGTTGCGGGCCAATCTCACGGAATTCCGAGACCACAAGCTTCTGCGGTTTACTAAAGCACCTGATGGATCTGAACTGCTTCACATTCCCTTGGACACGCACATCCTCATGGAATTTTTGTCTGAGCTGCAAGATGACGATCACTCTCAATGAGAGTGTGTTTCTCCCAACAAAAGCAGCAGATAATCTCAAAGTTATCTTATTCTGCCAATATGGGAAGATATGTTATTTTCTCTTGAGGGTTGTCTTTTCTCTGTTTGGAAAGTATTGATACAAATAACTGAAATTGTCTGCCCCAGTGTGGTGTTTCACAAGGAGTCATCTTGACTTGCCTTGGGGAGTCAAATTATTCTTGTGTACTTTCAAATTGAGTACACTGGAAAGTTGTCACTCTAAAAGTTTTGTTGTACCTTATTGTCAATAATTGGGAGTAAGGTAATTCAGAGAAAACAAACCTGGCCATTAGCCAATATTTCCTTTGAATCAAACATTTATATCATCCAGAACGGAACGTTTAGATTAGTTTTGATTTGTAACTGGTAGTGTCTTAAGATCAGAAAGTAGGTCTGAATGTGATTTGGAGTGATAAGTTGGCATTAATGGACCTCAATAGTTTTTATTTTGAGGCCAGTGAAGGAAACCTTCACTGGACTTTTTTATTTAGAAACTCTGCTTTTTTCTCATCTGATGTAAAGCCTAATATCTATCAGAGCCTGCTGGATAATGGATATTTTCAAATTTCTTGTGAAACCATAATCATTATGAATGCCAGTTAGTTGCCTTTACCTTTTCAGTTTCCTTAGGGTGTCTACATGGGTCACCCCCAAAAAGATGCCTCCTTTTTTTTTTCTCTCATACACCTTTTATTGCACAGGGACACAAATTTCACAGTGAATGCATACACCTTTCGAGATCCTTCAGTTATATTCTGACACTAGTTTCCATCCCTTTTTATACATTTTCACAAATGTTGAACAAGATTTTGTATGCCAGCATGGTTGGAAAACTTTTCTGCCTCATGCAATCATTTGCTAACTGAACATTTCCTTACATCATCAACTTTGAAATGTTTTCCATGCATTCCATCCTTCAAGGCACCAAAAAGATGGACATCTGGGGGTGGCAGATCTGGGCTGTATGACAGATGAGAGGTAAGAGTTCCTCCAATTTTTGCGATCAACCATGGCAGTGTTCTTTCTAGTTATAGGTTGATCACAAAAATCAGAGGGACTCCTCTCTCTCATCCATCATACAGTCCAGATCTGGTGCCCCCAGACATCCATCTTTTTGGTGCCTTTGAAGGATGGTCTTCGTGAAAAAAATCTTGAAGATGGTGATGCAGTGATATGTTCAGTTTGAAAATGATTGCAAGAGGCAGAACAGTTCTTTTACTGCACTGGTATACAAGGTCTTGCTCAATGTTTGCAAAAAATGTACTAAAAGGGATGGAAACCATGTGGAAAAATAACTGAAGAATCTCAAAAGATGCATGCATTCACTGTGAAATTTATGTTCCTGTACAATAAGGTTTTTTGAGGGAAAAAAATGGGGGGCATATATTTTAGGGTTACCCTCATATTTTGTAGTTTGACAAGATCTGTTGAAGTTGGGACCATGAAGTCTTTTGTTGAAGTGCCAGCTAACTCTCACTTTCCAATTCAAAATCTCCCATATGGAGTCTTCTCTACCACAAAAAGTGTGAGTTTTGTGTACACGTATGAGTGAAGAACTGCTCTCGGAGTGGAATTGAAGAGGACAAAGTCTACATGTGGGAATATTTCTATTCCTATTACTAGGCAAAGAAGCGGATTGGAGTGGCTATTGGGGAGCACATTCTAGATCTTTCTGTTGTGTCACACCTCTTCATTGGAGAACACCTGAAGGCCAATCGGCATGTTTTCCTTGAGGTTGGTTTTGGTTGATGTTAATGCTTTGAATCATTTTCCATTCTTAAGTCCAAGAGAGCCCAGCATTTGCTTACGTTTGACTTATTGGGTTCCCAGGACTCCCTGAATCACTTCATGGCTCTTGGTAGCAAGGCTTGGAAAGAAGCTCGAGCACGCATTCAAGAAATGCTGGACCAGAATTCCCCACTCATTCAGGATGATGAGAATCTCAGCAACAAGTGAGTCCACTAAGACCACTTCTTGCTGTGCAGATGAACCCTTTATTGTGAGAAGCCTGTTTGGTGTTGCAGGGCTCTGGTGAAACAATCAGATGCAATTATGCATCTCCCAGCTCACATTGGAGATTACACAGACTTCTATTCTTCCATCTATCATGCCACAAACCTGGGGACCATGTTTCGGGGAAAGGATAATGCTCTCATGCCCAACTGGTGTGTCCTTGGTTTCACATGGAACAATATGCTATCCTGTGTAAAAACAATTGCCTTTCAGAATGAATTGAACATATGATTGCAGGAAGTACATTCCGGTGGGGTATCATGGGCGCTCGAGCTCAGTTGTGGTGTCTGGCACGGGTATCCATCGTCCCAATGGGCAGATGCGTCCCAAGGATGAGGAGCCACCGACATTTGGACCCTGCAAGCTCATGGACTTTGAACTGGAGACTGCCTTCTTTGTGGGTAAAGCATCAAAACTTGGGACTCCCATTCCAATGCAGGAGGCAGAAGAACACATTTTTGGCATGGTCCTCATGAATGACTGGAGTGGTGAGTGGCTGCTTCTATTGTTTTCTGTCAGTGAAGTTCCAGTATTGCATTTTGCTTTTTTTCCATTAGGTCTGAACAAGGATTAACCACAGGTACAGTGTTATCATTTGGAATTACTTTTGCCTAAGTTCTGTGTGAAGAAAGAAACTGCTCCCAAATTCAGCATGAAATCTGATCCAACTCCCAAATGGTTTAGCTCTTGGTTCATCTGAAATTGGGAAAAGTTCCATGTGCTAAGTAAATATCACAAGTGTATGAAGCTGTTGTGAATGTTCCCTTTGCATCTGAGAAAATCTTTACCTAATCAGATTTTAGATCTCAGAGCCCATCACATGCCTTTGATTAAATTTGTGAAGCATCCTGAGAGTTGCAGTTCTGTGCAACTTCATGAATCAGAATTCCTTTAGTTACATTCATTGTGAAATCTACGTTTCTGGTTTTATGGATACTTCATTCATGCATGCTGTTTATCATTATTTAGATCCAAGATCCATTTTTTGTTTGCACTGCTTTTTTACATGATGTATCTGTTCACTCAAGTTTAACCTAAGTTCTGGAACCCTGCTGCATTTTTTGCTGACAGCACGAGACATTCAGAAGTGGGAGTATGTGCCATTGGGTCCATTCCTGGCAAAGAACCTGGGAACAACCATATCCCCTTGGATAGTGACCATGGATGCCCTGAAGCCATTCCTTGTGAACGACTTCCCTCAGGACCCTAAACCCTTCCCATACCTCCAGCAACCCTCTCCATATTCCTTCAATATCAGTCTTGAGGTGGCCATCCAACGTGAGTGAATCAAAGGGATGATTATATACACAGTACACAGTCTACTTACTATTTTTTTTAGTTCTGCAAGCTATGTATGAACTATATGCAGCTGGAGCTTCTCATATTTTAAGGATCCTAAACTCAACAACTGTACCATTCCCAGAGACAAAGCACATGAAAGGAAATTTTTTTGTTGGGTCTCCTAGTATATGGTATTGTATGAATGAAGTATGGAAAATTCCTATTGGTGTGGAAAAGGAAAAAAATGTAATGTTAAGGAATAATTCTCCCTAGAATATTATTTTGAATCAGTAACATCAATACTGGTACATTACATTCCCATTTTTGGGGATTTTTTTAACCATGGGATCTGTTTTTGCAAGCATTTTCATCCATTTTCTTCAGCGGAAGGCAGCAACGAGAAAACAGTGGTGAGTCGCTCAAATGCTCGCTACTTGTACTGGACCATGAAACAGCAGCTGGTGCATCATACCATCACTGGTTGCAATGTGAATCCTGGGGACCTCATGGCTTCTGGCACCATTTCTGGCCCAGTAATGATCTTTTTCTGTCACCTGCCATAATTGCTCCCCTCATCATATAATCTAATGCCTAAACTTGTCTTTTGTCTGTGACCTTGTTGCCTTAGTGCACCTTTTCAAAACTTTAAGTCAATTTCAGCACTCCCATTTACTCTCCCACTCCTATTCTCTTCATATTTGTCACACTCTCTACCCTATCAAGTCTGAGTGATTGAACTGTCCTATATACCCACCAAATTTTTTCACCTCTGACTGTTTCATATGAACCTCAGTTCACATAGGGCTGTGTAGTGGCTAAACCCAAGCTCCTTAACCCTTTAAGTCCCATATTTCTGAAGCTGAAGTTGGCTTAAACTATGGACACTTTCCTTCACAGCAATAACTTAGTGTTTCATTCCAGGATTCTGGTTCATATGGTTCCATGATTGAGATATCTTGGCGGGGAACTAAACCAATCACCTTAAATGATGGATCCACTCGCACATTTATCCAAGATGGGGATAATGTCATCATGACAGGTAGCACTGAGTTTATTCTTATGTCAAGTTTTTGTGTAATCATACTTTAGATATGAAATTAACTTCCTTATGTCAGGTTACTGTCAGGGTGAAGGCTATCGTGTTGGATTTGGAGAGTGTTCCGGGAAGATTCTGCCTGCCTTGAAAATGTGAAGCCTTCAACTTGTATTCCATTGTCTGATCATTCCTGATTGTTATATTTGTGAGAATGATTTCCTGGAAATATGTTTGATATGCTTTTCTACTGCTTTTTGAATAACAGCTTAGCTGTGCTCTATTTTTCTCTTGGGTATTCATATTTTTACTTTTGTATTGTTTTTGTATTGTGGCATTATCAAAACTGTGCAATATGAGAGCTTCCATCAGTGTTTTCACATCATGTGCTTTGGCTTTTGTGCAATATAACCTGCTGGATTTCTATTGATACTTCATGAAATAAATTGTACAGGGTATCTCAACATCTGTTTTGATTTTTGAATAACTTTTTTAATTTGCACAAATTCTGATCGCATTTATAAATTTAGTAGAGCATTTTGAGAAAATTTAACTGACACCTCCTTGAACTCAAATGGATAAATAAAGGAATTATGACGGTTTCCATGAGGTACCCTTTTCATCAAAATACAGAGATGACTCTTGGTATAATGAAAAACCGGTTATACTGAAATCCTTGACGTTCCTCTGCCGAATGCCCATAGACACCTAAAGAATTCGGATATAAAGAAATTTCTGTCTCCTGGTAGAAACACAGGATTTAATTTTTTTCTCTTGACAGAAGTGCAAAAGGGTGAGTCCTCATCTCTCTATCTTACCCTCCATCCCGGTCTTCAGTTGCACGGCCTAGGAGAACCAATGATTCGGCACATGCAGAATGTGCATGATATAAGGAATATGAATGGGTGAATGTGCGTGGGGCGGGGGATGTGAACATGAACGAAGCACTTCACAGCTCACGCTCAGCAGCTTTTAGTCAGACTCCCTTGTACCATTGTACGCGAGTTTTATTTTACGAGGCTTCTGGAGCTCCATGGCACGGCAAAAGCAACCCTTTAACCCTTATGCTGCGTAGTTGATATTGGTATGCAGCCAATGGCAATGTTGCAGGAAGCAACAGAAATCATAAGTCAAAATGTCAGCTGCCAATGCAATTTCTGACACTTTAACTGCAATGCCATGTACCCCACCAGCTGATATGTGACAGCGAAGGTGTTGCAAGTACTCTCGTCCATGAAACCTGTAGAGCCCCCCCAAGTACACCCACGGAATAATAATCATATATGCCCAGACATAACAGGATTCAGTTCTCTAATTGGAAATACACAACTCTCTCCTGATGTAATGAAATAATTCCAGCGGCTTCATCAACTTCCTTATAACAAGAGTCAACTGTATATGGTATGTTCCACAACAAATACCATTTATTGGAATGGTAAAATCACTTCGAGGAAGAAGAGCGATTAGTAGCGCATCTTTCCTGGATTGCCAAGGCCAGATTCATCATTGAATTCAGATAAAGCATATGAAGCGACTCATGAAGTACAAATTTTCTGCGCATCAATTTGCAAACCGTGCAAATAAAAACACGCTTTCAAAAAACTTTGTTGATCCACTTGGACATCTCCCATCACAAAATTCCACCTGGAATCTCCGTTGTTGGCTCTTTCCAAAACCTATTCCATGCCTCTTAACTCAGAGAGACAGTACACACAATTAGCACACATTAGCACCCGCAATCAGATGGCTGGAAAAAATGGTGTCTGTGAAGATTGCTGTAAGTTCACTTATTATCAACCGTTTGCGCTCAAATATGTGTCAAAGTTCTCTTGAAACCCTTTACAAAAATGTATACACACGATCAGAATTGGTTCAAATTTAAAAGTTATTCGATAATCAATTCGTCATGACTCATTGGAACACTCTGTACTTCAAGGAAGGAAGAAAGACTGCAATTTGAAGATACTCCAGGCACATTCTGTATTGAATTTGCATCATGATCCCACGAAACCATTACCATTTTCTTTTGAGTGACCACATATTTTGTTTTCAGAATAACAATCCACCAAATTAAGACCATAAAACCCAGCCACATGAGGTTTTTGCACATATCTAATAACTTTTTCTACTATTTAGATGGGACCAACATGGAAGTTGCATTTGAGTGCTGTGGTTATTCATGCCAGACATTGTACTTGTGCTTCTCAATACAAGGCCTTCACACTTCCAACTTCCCTTCCTCCAAATCCCTGCAAAAACAAATTACACAGGATTCAAATTCATTAACATACACTATATATGTCTAATGTACAGCATGCTTTCAGTTTCATTGCACTACACAACATCCAGAGCTAATGAGAAAGAAAAAAACTAATGGTAATGAGTTTGTCAGAATGGCACAACTAAGTAGTGAATCAAGTAAAGCCACTAGAAAACTAAAAAAGTCTGGATCCACACATCTGCCAGGGCATATTTCTGCCAGTATTCACTCACCAAAACTTGGGGGAAGTTTTATTATTAGAAGCTGAATTCTTGGACCCATTGCAATAAACATATTAATACTGGTACACTGCAATGCAATTAAGGCTCAATGTTGGGATCTTGAAAGAAATGAGTCCAAAGAGATTCTTGGAGACTTGCTTTGCACCCAGATTCCTTGATTGTGAGCACCCAGGCTGGAAACAAATGGTACAATTCCAAAACTTTCATTTTGAACAAAATCATGCTTGAAGATACTCCAAAAATGTAAGGGGGCTCCTTCAATTGAAGGAGTCTTACAAATCTCCTTCAATGGAAGAGCATCAATGTTTTGAGGCAACTTCAAAAGAAAATGAATTCAAGGGATGCTTAAAATGTCCATAAAACCTATTGCTAAAGAGGGTTGTTAACAATTTATGGAAACATATTTAAACTAGCCCCAGAAGTTTTCCTGGGCTGGGGTTTCTTGCTGCATTATGTCAGCTAGCATGGCATTGTAAGTTTCCAATATGAAAATGAGAAGGCTTGAACATGTGGGATACCTCTGAAAATGATTGTTTGCAAGGAAAGGTATTTGTATTCTGAGATGATAGACAGCTGCAAGGACAAAGGTTATGTGGAGTCAACCAAGAAGATAAACAGGGAGAGATAACCTGCATAAACCATATCCAACCCCAAAGAAAACTGTAGAGACCATAAGTATTGTAGGTCAATTATTCCAGAAAGAAAATCGCTAGCACAAAGTCATCTTGTCAACAAGTCACATGTGTGCCCTGCTATGAGTAACAAATTATCAATGAAGACCTGAGGATGAAAAAGAAGTGCAAGACTTGTTCACAAACTGCAGCCTTGTCACGTTGCAGAAAGCTCTATGAGCACCATCTAGCAGGCGACAAGTGGAAATATGTAGTCACCCAAGATGAAGCAGGACTAACCTGAGGGTTACAAAATCAGTTCAAGCCGTATACTACTGACCTTGTGGTGAAAACACATTTCAAAATTTGTTCCTGGAGTGCAAGGAACACTTTTCCTGGATTCATGGTGATTAGTCTTCAAAGGTAGCTTTGCACAAAGATAAGGCCCAAAGCCACACTTCTAGGGAAACTGCTGCTTTCTTGAGCCATATGGAAAGAGCCACAGGAATAAAATAAAAATCCATTCATAGAAATTCCAGTGAAGTCTCAAGATGCAGCACCGATCAACTTCTGTATCTAGATGGCTAGGCTAGATGAAGTGACCCTAGGGAAATCTGTTTATAATTTTTTTTGTCTCTGGAAGGTCTGCAAGGGGAAGCATTTGGGAAGAGCAGGAGCATATGGATCTCACTGTGCTTCAAAGGAGCTTATATTGTATTATATTATATTAGAAAGTTCGATGCAGAGCTGTTGTCAAGAACCATAGATACCCATGTATAGCATAACAAGGAATGAATAAAGAAGCACTAAGTCATGCATATCTCTAACAAATTTGTTTCCATAAAGAGCAAACAACCCTCCATATGTGTAGCTAAAACTTAGGCACTACTAACCATCATGAGGGACTCCATGCTCAATGGGATTAAACAAAATGAGTGCCTGCTGCAAACAGAATCAAGCTACAATAATTGTACCACACCAAGAAGATGCACTTCCAGAAAACCAAGAATAAGAACTGACAACTTCAAGAACCTAGAAAAACCAACTGAAACCTATTCCTATTCAGGCTGGCCAATGAGGATAATGTACCTGAAACAAGATAAAAGTAGTTCAAAGCACATAAGCAAAAATGTCCACAGGTAGTCTCAAGCAAATATAAAATCACAGGTATGGCAACAGACATGCATGCTCCTGCAGACAAAAGGGATAACTTTAGCCTCAACTTTAACTTCATGGGGCAAACACAACAGGATGAACAAGTAAGCGAGACTGACATGATGAGATTTGCAGCTCCAAACATCCATTTGGGACACAGGAACAAAGAAGGGAAGGGAAGTAGAAAGAAAATCCGGAAACAAACTTGACATATTTGAAGAGATGCAACAAAAATGAACTTGTTCTCAGGATAACTAAAGCACATTGAATTTTTTTTTCACACATTCCTTTGAATCAAAACTAAGCTAGGAGATCCCCCAGAAAACACTTCATGTCCCTGAGAAGCCTCAGGGGGAACTGATAGCAATTCTGCAGTGAGCACCAAGGCTATTACACATACTCATAAGTGACTTCTATTCTAAAGTGAAATGAATGATACCACATGGAAGGGACAGGAAAGGGTTTTAAAGGTCTACAAGGATTCTAGGGGTAAATGCATGGAGTTTCGCCGTCCATCCCAGTCCAAAAGAGGGGGATTGCTGCAGACAAACAGTATGCCAAATGATCTTATTTATGTAATGATTCACGAAAACATACTTTCAAGAAGAAGGGCCTGACAGAAGAGGAAGGTCCCATGACACAAAACATGGCCATGCTAACTTGAAGAAGTTCATGAAATTATGGCTACACTATAGATTGAACTCCTTTAAAAATAGGATAACCCAAACAGGTTATAATATTGGAACATAATTCATAGTTTGGGACATCTTGGTCCTTTTGGAGAGATTTTATGAGTAACTTATCAATAGGATAAGGAGAGACAGAAGATCTAGAGGTAATGGAAAGCAACTGAAGAAAAGATGGTTCATACAGGTGCTCAGGGTGGACCTTGATACAGTCAATCATCTCTGAAGGTGGTAGCTCCTGTTCGCAAATACGATGGATGGCAGTGAAGAGTGGGAATCTGGATCAAAAGAGAAATTTTTCAACACAACAGCAAGCATTGAGAACACATTTGTATGTAACATTGGTATGGTTTCTTAGGCTTGATGCATTGGTTGAATATGATTCACCTGGCTTCCATTTGCTTCTCCTTCAGCATATAATTGACTTCAGCAGCTGTTTCAGGTCCTTGGAGACGCTGACCATCCAGCATCTCTTTCTCCAGCGTTGCAATCGACTAGTGGAACAAAAAAAAAATTCAATTACTCTCTTCTTTGTCTACTCATAGACTTCAGGGAAGTTTCACCTTTCCATGCTTGACAACAGCCTCGGCAACCCTGCGGTTGCGTCCGCCATAGCATGTGGTCACCAAGTCGGCCACACCACAGCTTTCAAAGAAGGTGCTCAGCTTGGCTCCTGGATAGAACACTTCAGTAAACTTGATCATTTCCATGAGTCCCAGTCGAATCACAGCAGCCTTTGTGTTGTCTCCATACCCCAGGCCATCCACAAATCCTGCACCCACACCCACAATGTTCTGCAAAAGTGACATTTATCCATAGATCTCATTCAATCCAACAACACCACTCTAAGCCATGGATTTCAAAGGATGACAATACATATTTTGACATTTCAACTGACCTTCAAGGCACCACACACCTCCACTGCATCTGCATCATCGACCACAACAACACGGAAGTTATCAGTCTGGAAGAGATCCTTCATTGATTTCATGTGGTTGATGTCTCGTACACCTATATCATGAAAATGTCCCATTGAATTTATTGTCGATATTGCAAAAAGAAGACAATAAATAAAGGGTCTAAATTTGGCACCTATGGTAGTTTCACAAAATTTCCCCTCAGCAACTTCAGGGGCGAGGTTGGCTCCCATGAGAACATGCACAGTTATATCCAGAATCTCGTTAATCAAGCAACTGATGAGGCGGATTCCTCCACCAGGAGGAATGTGGAAGCCCTAAAGAAATTGCATAAGATTAGTACTGAAGTATTTAGCTAATGTAGCCAACAAAGTCTACCAATGCAATACATCTCAGAAAGTTAGACAAACCTTGATGAGAGAAACACCAAATGCTCCTGGTTTCAGCTTTCCCTTCAATGGTAGGAGACTCCTCTCCAGAAATTGGTGAGGCATGACAAAGACAAGGATGTCAGCATCTTTTGAGGCCTCAACAATGTCTGTCACAGCAACCTAGAATTGCAGTTGTAACACAAGCAACCACCTATGAATTTGGCACTCCAAGAAAGCAAACACATGATCAACTGCATAATAATAGGGAAGGATACAAACCACATTGCTTGGGAACTTGTAGCCAGGCAAGTACTTAACATTCTCATGCTCTTCGTTGATGACCTCGCTCAACTTTCTTCCATCCTTCAAAGTTTCTTCATACACCCAAATTTTCACTATGTCATGATATGAAGGAAGCTTCTTAACATTGTCACCCACAATGCGGGCAATGGCCGAGCCCCTGAGAAAAAGGTGGAAATGGAATGGAATGAATGGGGTGCATCAATCAAATGCACATCCAAGATAAATACTTTTAAATTGAAAACATTTTTGGCTTTCCTTCTACTACTTGAAGGCAAAAATATAATTATAAAGATTTTTAATAGGGTTTCAATTACAAGGGAGAGAGTGGAACATTGTCACAGTAGGCTGATAATCCTACATTATCATTGATCTTGCTAGTCTTCACCATTGAAGGTGTCTGAATAAAACATTATGGACAGCAAGATGTCAGCAAGGCAGGGGTAATAGACAAAGGCAAAGACCTAGCCCTCTGAATTCTGGCTACTTCTGGGTTCAACTTATTCAAAGAAGTCAAAGGATGGCTGACTCACCAGTTCCCAGATCCAATGATAGCAACATTCTTTTTGGTACTCATTCTGGTCCAAAATATACTTCACTCACACTCTTGATCACAGCCTTTTTTGTTCTCTTTGGTAATGGACAGGTTGGAGACAAAACAGCAGAAAAAAAAAATACAAGTATCCCTGAGATTCCAACAATTCTTTCGTTCAAGTCTCGTTGCAGAGGCAGTCAACCAACAGAAAACACTTGACACTAACAGGAATTGGATGTAAGGCAACGGATAACAGGCCCAAATCACGACTTCTCAAGCACTGGCTCTTTTCGTTCAGTTTCCTAGTTTATTTCTTGCACACTTGGTCGGGGGAGTAGAGATAGATTTTTACCAACACAGATTCTTTTGCAAAGTCCTGTTTTACCTATGCCACACACAACTCTCTCGTACACGGAATGTAATGCAATGTCTTTCGTTCGATGGCTTGCCGCATCCAGACGCCCTGGGCCTAAGTTTCTGAGCTTCTAACCGGGAGGTCGGGAGACGGACCCTACACTACTGAGATGGACCGTGACCTCGAAAGGGGGAAGAGTTCGGTTCCCAAGGTCGCACTGCTGCAACACGGAAGTGGATTGCGAAGGAAACTAAACAAGGACGAACGGAGAGGATGACTAGACCTAAATTCAGGGCCCAGGGTCACTGGGAAGAAGCGCGCACGTGCGGCTTTACATACTCGAGCGCATGCAGACACCAGCGACATCTGTTGTCGCATCGTCTGCTGCTCACCTGGATCGACCAAACACGGCTGCAGGTAATTTCAATATGAATTATTTACTTGTTCCAGAGTGGATGTCATATCAGCCGCTTTCAGGTGACCGATGCAGGTTGAGCATCATCAGCTGTCGAATTATTGTTTATCATCTACTTCGGTATAACGAGGAGTTAATGACTGACGGACGCCCTTCGGCACCGTTTCAAGGCTTCTATTTACTACGGCTGACAGTGGGAATGGGAAGAATAATTTGGAGGTTAGCGGCGATACGCGCTCAGTGGCGCATTTTACACACGGCCCGGCCCTTGAACTCGAAGCACCCCGAGCCAGTTTTTCTTTTTAATCTCCTTCCGGTACAGGCCGAGGTTGTCACCGCTGACCGATTACTTTTTGGCACGCATGAAATGAGGCCTACGCGGCAAAAAAAGCAGGGATGCAATGTAACACGTGAGAAACCGACAGGTGTTCCATTCATAGTCGATCATCGAGATTCTCTCGTGACAAGTTTCGCGAAAACGCGTGCATTTCACTCAGAATCGCTACCACGGAAAAGCCAACAAAGCAATAAAACAAAAGTGTCGCTTAGTACAAGAAATTCTAAGCGCGTACCTCATGGAGCACCACGGCGGCAGAAAAGGTGAAGGGCTTTTACGTCGTCCCGTGATTGAACTCCCTTCCCCCTTTGGTTGCGTAACAGTTGGGTCTCGGCCAAAATGCTTCAATACGAATGCACGAGGCACGAACGCTTCACAGGTCGCTTCCGGAGCATCGCGTTTCATTTCATGGCGCCGAATAGGATTCAAATTTTCACAAAAACGCGAGGAACATCCACGCGAACCGCATTTCGACGCGTCGGGCTTATATTCGCTGGTCGAACAGGAATATCACATTCACGCATTTGGCAACATTGCTTCGAAGACGTAGTACCTGCGCAGTGGACTTTCCCGATTTTGGCGGGAGCAGCAGAACGAGCGTGGATGGGTTCCGCTCACTGGGGCCGATTTATAAAAAATATTGGGGGGGGGGGCAAGTTCCTAATGCCCCTGAAATAATATATTGACTGAATTATTCCAGGATCCATTGGGGTAGCTCAGTATTCTTATGGTAACAGAGTCACAACCCGGGGGGGGGGGGGGGGGGGGG